CCATTGTTTACTGGAAGCTGCAGAGTGCAAGGTGCACTCGACCGCAACGGTTTGGCCAGCCTCGCTGAAGCGTTCGTCTTTACAATGTTGACCGTCCGTGAGGCTTACCGTTTACAAAGCGTTGGACACTTTCAAATCGTTTGTATTTTGACCTCACGCCTTACACCCACACAAATGACTGTTTGGTGGCTACTCTAAGCTGACAGGCAACCTTCTTTGATGCCTGAGATTTCATCCAGGCCTGCAGCCCTGTAAAGAGAGCCCAGAATTGTGAGGTGTTGTGTAATTCCCTTTGTCGCCAGTGAATGCACGTGGCATCTTTTCAAACGCGGAGATAGCATGCAGCGGTGCTGTGTCACTCATCAATGGGGCCCTGGAGCACTTTAGTCCGCAGTGCTAATCCGCGGGCGCGCTATGCCCCAAACAGTTGTATACTGTTTGAAAACAGTGACGGATTACCTTCGAAAATGCAAGCCAAAAAATAATGGCAATTCCCAGTAGCAGGTCTTTTGTTCCGAGTACAGTCTTTGTTACACGGGCCAGCTCTTTTGTCCCATTTCGGGCACCCCGGCTGTGCGTATAAACCCATGGTGCCCGAACAGGGATACCTGGCAGCAAGTGGTTAAGGGATTTTGTTAAGTGTTAGTGGAATATGAGTTTGTTTTCAATCAAAGTCATTGGTGGAATATAACATGTTAAAAGTCTATGGGTTGGACCTGCCCCCCAAAAGAAAAAAAGACAAACGTAACGGCTTTTTCACTTACACATATGTGAAAAACTGAAGATTCAATCTGTTTTAACAGAACATAGGGCTTTTCCACATCATCAGCCCAAATTTTCACACATGCACAAATAGGGTAAATGTAGAGTAAATATAAGCATTATCCAAGGCGTACTCAACCAAATTTTCATGAGGGCCAGTGCAATGCACTTCCCACTGGCCCTGGGGGCCAAGAGATTGAAGTTAATATCGACCCCTGTTCTGGATCTTACACCATTGAAATTCCCACTGTTGGAAAACATGTGCTTTTTTTTTTTTTTTGAACATGGGGATAGTGGAGGTGTCTATTAAACTACCCATTCACTCAAGTTTGGAGAAGTCACAATGGCACCCACTATGTGTATATAGACAGATGCATAAATCTGAAAGCTGAACTAGGCACGTGTAAACCTACCAGTGCTAATGTTGGTATGTCTGATTCCCTGACTTCTCCTACTCGTACCAGGTACAGTAAAAAGTCTTTAGCAGCATTGGTCTGAGCATCTTTCTTCCCTGTGGAGTTCCCTGCTCCAACGTAATTGTAGCCAGGCACTCGAACCTGCAGCATGAATAAAATGCACCACAAAACCGTGAAGAAAGATGTCTTCGTTATTAAATTTGTTGGAAATTTATTTTCTCACTTAAACAGTTGAAGTTTTTTCACGGTGGACATACCCCCACACAATGAGAGAAAGGTTTGTGGTGCTTCTGAAAAGAGCCAGTACATATATGGGTACATGTATACAGTACGGTTTGCGTAACTTGCTCTGTTAATTGTCAGGAGACATCTGACAACAGACTGAACATACTGTCCAAAATGTGATATACTGTTTCTTTTAAGAACTGCATTCACTCCTATAAGAGATTTTAAATGGCACTAATAGTGAATCTTTTCAAAAATTTCATCTGAAAGACTTACTGTAAATTTACCTACTTAAATTAACCTTACTGAAATTATTTGATTCAGCCAGAATCAATTTGATGATTCCATGCAATTTTTGTACAACGTCTTTGATGTATTTACATGACAACTATTTTACATCCATTTGGGGTTATCAGGTTATAGTTACATGTAACTGCACTGATTAGAGCACTTTACATAACATGGTCCATGCCATTCTTGACAACTGAAGATGCTGTTGTTGTGATGTCATTCAGGGAAGACACTGCTGGTTTTCTGTTTTTCAATTCAAATTGTGAACCCAAAATTTGCTTATTATAAAAATTTTCTGAGGAAGGGTTACTTGTTGGTTCATTGCGAAGTACATGCACATGTACATGTACATGTACAGTCGACTCTCGTTATTACAAAACTGTTGAGATGTAGTGAAAATGTTCACTATATCCGAAACTTGTAATTGGTGGAATGCTCTGCAGTGGCTGCGGGTACATGTATGAACAGGTCCTATTGTGTACAATATCATGCACATTTACATGTACTGTACAGGTACATGTACATGCATACACGTGAACGTGATCGATGTCAAAAAGATCTCTCGGTTATGATCAATCAAACACATTGTGACGTGTTAAGAATAATAAACTTCACTGTCATATGAAAACATATTTAATGTACATGTTGGATAAACAGCAAATAAAAGCATCAGGCCAGGGATTTTTTAAAGACTCAATCGCCATGGATGAGGAACGTGATGAAGCTAACATAATGGCACGTACATGTAGGCCAGTGTGTACCTGACAGAATGTGAAAACTCATCAACTTAAGCTCCCCCCCCATGTAAGTGGTCTTTCAAACACAAATTGTGTCATGGGGAGACATTTTTAGTTTATTTTCCCTTGTCTTTTGATGTTCGACACTAGCCAAATGACCACGATAAAGAATTATAGTCGAGATTACTCGTCCAGCGAGGTCAATGAAGAAGCATGATGTCAGAAGGGAATATTGTGATTGGATAGCTACATGTACATGTATGTCTTCCAAAATGTGCGTCGTAGTTATTTAGCAGCCATATGAATAATTCAGTGTTGGGCGATCAGGGCTCTTGAGAAACGAGTAGTTAAGCGAACTTATTTGAGGTGTACTTTTTCAGAATTGGCAATGGAAGTTTTTGTTCTAGCTTTGCTATAATCAATTTCTGAGAAATCATTCATTTTTTAATCGAGCACAATGCTACTCATCACAATGGGAAACTGACAAACAACGTCTATATATCACATTGTAAGCAGATGTGTGCAAAATTTCAGGAAATTTAATGAAAACACGCTCGCTTCCAGTACAAGCAGTACGACCTCAAATTAAATCCATTAACACAGAAGAGACAAACATAGACAGGGGATCAATTTCTGTGTTCACATTGAGCAACGATACAGAACTGGTTGCCATATTTCCATCATGTGTTTTTTGACAGTGGTTCAATCCGGCAGGAACCAGTGCAGCATTGCCTCAGTACATTGCGTGCATTTTAACCACCGCAATTCGTAAACGTTCATTACAAATGGGTTGTCAACAATGGTTTTTCGGGTAGCAAAGTCACAAAACCTTTTGTTGTATTTCATACAATGCAATTTCGTTGTAACAGATTTTTTCCCCATAGAAATGTGCGCATTTTCACTAAAGATGGGTGTTTGTTATAACTGTTATTTTGTTACAGCCGATTTCGTAATAATGGAAGTCAATTGTAGAAGCACAGATCACCAAAGAAAAGGAAACTTATAACAGCAAATTATACAACAGACATTCTATACATGTCCAGTTGCAACAGATTACATGTATATGGCTTTCCCACATTCATAATATTATGCTCAAAATGAACTTGTTATGTATTATGCATGTTATAAAAAGCATGCTTACGTAGTAAAAAATAGCGTTCAAACTCAACTAGAGATGTACACAAACGTTAAAATCTTTTTAAAAATCTTTTCAATTTTTTCATGAGCTCTCAGACAAGCACTTTCTATACAGTGTTCATGAATCAAAAGAAAACACATTCCAAGTACACGTAATTAGGGCAGACACACATCAACTGAAAATGCCTTTTTTACTTTTCAACCTACATGTATTACAATACGGTGCTGGAGTTTTCATGCTTTTTATGTTGATGTTGGTACAAGGTTTTGCGTTTATATCCTACCTGTAAACTGTTTAGAAGATATTGACCAATGTACTCATTTGAAATTATCTGACAGTCAAATGCATCTGAACTTTGATCCTTCATAACGCCAAAAGCAAAGGTCAGATAACTTTAATAGTAATAATTGAAAATGTATAATGCACCGTTTTCATAAAAATGATCAACGGCGCAGTACAAGTTAACGTAAAAACAATTAATTTAAGAAATGAAAACATAAGGATAAATGAATAAGGATAAATGAATGTCATCGCAATAGTACCCAAACCGTAGTACGGTGATACGTCTGTCTCGCCAAGAGGGAGAACCTAACCTGCTTGCATCAGTGATGTCTCAATCTTTCCCGGGACAGAGGCCTCTAACCCTATCTATGATAAGAGTGAAGTAATTATATCAGACATTGTGACACTCAAATAACGAATCACAGCTAAACCTACGTTTAAAAATAATAATAACCCTACCAGATAAAACTAATAAAAAAATGAATTTTGCAGTGCAATATCACTGTGCAAATGCAAAATTTAAAAAGGAAAGTTTTCACTTCATATTTAAAAACGGCAAGGCTCTGCTTGCACCACATGTGCCATGGCAAGGCATTCCATAATTTGGGAGCAGCAATTGCAAATGCCCTGTCGCCAAGTCTGGGTAGCATTTTACCGTTGGGGTAACTTAACAAAGGACCGTTGCTTGCTGACCTGAGATGATATCTAGACTCCTCCTTAATGATGACAAGATTCATTAAGTATCTAGGAGTAAGACCATGGATGGCTTTGTATGTTAACAGGATGATTTTGAAGTGAAACCTGTACAAAACAGGTCACCAGTGAAGGTGATGCAGTATTGGTGTTATGTGTTGAAACTTGAGTGTATTCGTAAGAACTCTACAGGTAGCTGCAGATAGCATGCTGGAATTGCTGTAATCTCATTATCTGTGCTGCTGATAAACCATACAAAAGATTATTACAATAGTCCAGACGGCTGGTCACAAATGTGTGAATTAACACTGAAAGCAAATCGTGAAAGAGGAATTTACTGATGTGCCTAAGATTGTGAAGGTAAAAAAAATGCTGCACAAGCCTTAGTGAAGTGGATGTCCATTGTCATTTGTGAATCAAACCATGATCCCAAATTCCTGATGCATGTGAATGGAGGGATTACAGAATCGCCCACTGTGACGTTGGAAATTTATTTTCTGCAACTGCTGCCAGGGTCAAATAATCAGGAATTCACACTTAGTATTATTGATCATTAACCCGTCTTGCAAATTCCAATTTCTGATGTCCAGAATACAAGTACAACACTACAGAATACAACATTAAAGGTAATAACAAGATCTAATATGTGATCCATCTCGTGTGTAGGCTTGTTTACGTGTTGCTGAAGACCCATAGATTCAAGAAGCACTAAAAACCGATCGGTGATGGGGTCATCAGGAATGTCAATGTGAATATTGAAATCGCCGGTTATTACAACTGGTTCAGGAGATAAGACAATGATTCCAAACAGTTCGCGAACTCACTGACAAACTGGTTGATTGTAAAAGGATGATTTACAGAGTAAGGTGGTCTATAGATAATTAATTGCAACAGACCATTCTGAATACTGGAATGTGTCCACTTCCCCTCCAGCGATTTTCTTAACATGAAATGATTGAAAAGTACACTCAAACCACCTCAAATAATTCACTAAACACATGTCTTAAGCTAAATGTAAAAGGAAAGCTTTCCGAGGAAACATTTCTTTTGGATCTAGTCTCAGAAGATTACTGGCTAGTGGAAAGTACGAGATAACAAAACCTTCAACATCACGAATTTGCTTAGACTTCTCAGACATCCGAAAGTCCCCACCTCATAAAATCAATCGGTACAATTCTTTTCATAATTTGAAACAAGATTCACCGTGAAAAATGCAATGGCTAAACCCCAGAAACGATACACAATAGTATAAAATGATATAAATAGGAACTCAAACTTACCTAAAATAGAGAGCCAACACTCATGAACATAAGGGGAAGACTTGGATTTTGAAGTCCTCCGGTCCAAAGAAAAAAGTGCAGAGCGCAGACAAAATTCGGCAAGCATATAGTCAGCATGACGGCAAAGTTTGGGAATACCAGGCTTGCCCAAAACTCTGGGGCAAACTGCCACCCAGAATGCCCTTGCCACATGACTAGCTCAGGCTCTCATTGGACAACTTAAAAAATGTCACACATGACTCCAATACTGATTGGTCATTTAGGGATGGGATCAAAATACAGAGACTGTTCGCACCCATTCCCTTCCGTTCTGCACGCCCTCCCCTTCATCCTCGTTCCTAAGAGCACTTGTTCCTCCCCTTTCGCTTGTATGAGTGATTCAAAGAGTGTTGTTGGCCGTTCCTGTGCGTGCGAGAACAGCAGGGTCACAACAAAGATGCGAAGAACATGCATACAAGCTGTTCTTGAGCCTTGGCTGAATGTCAACAGTGTTTGGTCGATAAAATTGTTTTTCTTCTTTCTTCCTCTTCCCTACCACATTTTCTTCGCACAGGTTTTGTGCCACCCATGGGGGTCACAACATCTTACCGTGTGCACACGGGTCTTTTGTTGTAGAGAAACGCGGGGAACAGGACAGCCGTTCTCACGCGTGCAAAGTGGAGGTACATGTAGCTTGAACAAAAGAATGCATTCCTGGCCTTCGCACCGCTGGGAACGGTCTCTGTATTAGTAGTATCTAGGCAGATGAGCAATCAGCAGAAGTTTATAGCTTTCACAGCTATAAACTATGGGTAAAGTATGAACAACAACTAGGGATTAAGTGTCCCAACATCCTGCTGATCTCCTGAAAAGCTTACTGGGAGTGTACACACGGGTGTACTAGTAAGAGACTAAAGGCAGTGGATAGAAAGAGTATCCTGTGATCTCCTAAGAAAGCAGGAACATTAAAGATAAACTGAAGGAAGAGCAGGCTATTTGACAAACAAAGGAAAAGGAATTAGATCAAAGGTTCAACACTGGAACACTGCTTACCAGCAGAAAAGTTAAAAGTTAAGGAAAGAACAATTTAAGTACTGTATGCAAAAGGAAAACATAGTCATAAACAAATAAAATTGGAATTGTAACCTACATGTAAGACCTCTTTTGGGAAGGGGTTACATTAAAATCAAAGATTTGGTATTGTTATATGCAGGGCTACAAATTTTAAAGAAAAGAAATTTTCAGCAGGGCAGGAAGTATTGTTCATCTGTTAAATCTTGCTAAATTGTGGCTTGAGACACATGTACCGAGTACATGTAGTTCTAGAAGTGAGAAGCTATTATTGTGATTACAATGCACAATTGTATACACTATTGCAACTGTTTTTATATATGGTTTGTTCATCGACAGTCTGCCAGTCAGTACGACTGAATATTCGGATATTCAATCGAATTGAAAGTCAAATATTCAAATAGTGAAATATTCGAATTGACTCAGCCTTATGTCTAACCCAAGATCCGTCAGATCCCAAAACATGAACACTGTACAATGTACATGTATGTGTAACTGTTCATGAGATAAAGGTAAGTTTCTTTCTACTAAAATCACATTTTTTTTTTACTTGATGATACCATCATAACATCTCATTTGTATGCAGATCCAGGGAATAAGGTTGATATTGATATGTGTCAAGTTTCAGGTTTATGTGGTACATCATCTCAGATAAAAGTCCCAGACAATTAACAGCAGGAAAAAAGTGAGGAAGATGGAACACAACAAACCAATAGGTACATGTACGTGTACCCGTCGATGGGCTGTGCCCAGCTACGGATACATACCTATAAAGTTTTGGAAAGCCACCCCACTTGTGGAATTTTACAGTCATTAATACGAGGGCATTACGTACATGTACCCTAACAGCATGTTCCCACTTGAATTGGGAAAAGGTGGATCTTGATGCAGCATTTTGGTGTGATCATTATCTTACCGCAATGAGACCGCAAGTCGCGTTCCCACTTATACTTGATCCACCTTTTCGGAGGTTGTCTATTCAAAGTTTGCTTCCATTTTTGATACTCTGTTACACGCTGCGGGCTAAACGCTAACATAGAATTAGTTTTTGATGGAAAGCAAGTGAAATTACACAAATGAAAATGGTTAAGAAACGAATGAATGTGCAACAAAAATTGTAAAAGGGCTAGGTACACATCGTGGCATGCACGCATTGCGCATGCTTGGTGACACGTTTTGCTAGCCCGAAGTTAAGCAGTTGTTTATTGCGCATACTGTGCATGTTAAAAATTTCACGAGCTACACGCCAAAGTGTATTTCTTTGTTCATCAGACCGCAAAAGTTTTGCGCCACTTGTGCAGGATCTGATCCACCAATTGGGGGATCTGTATCCTGCTCCAGAGGAGGATCAAGAAAGGTGGATCTGATCCTGATTCACCTTATAACGGTTAGCGTTCCCACTGCACACAATTGCTGGATCTGATCCACCCAATGGGGGATCTGATCCGGCAATGTGGCAAAAGGTGTCAGCTTGTTTAGCTGCAAGGGAAGCAAGCAGATGCTGTGTTATGTACATGTACATGTATGTTTACATGCATGTGTGACTGCAAAAGTCATGTGATACTGTCATCAGATTTCAGATCAAAAACATGAGTTTTTCAACCACACTGTTGCTACAAGTAGGTGTAGCAAACTTCAAATGATAGTGTGAGCCTGTTTACATTTGGAAGAATTCAAGAGAATTTTTGACATGTAGACTGCTGAAGTCCTGAATGTACATGTACATGTGACTTTTCATATTCAAATCGCTGGGATATAAGGACAAACTTGCACCTTCCACTCACCTTTACCTTTATAATCTTTGGGTCAGTAACATCAAACCCAGCAGGTTTGGCTAATAGGTCATGACGCTACTGGCCTGAGAATTATTATGAATGGCCATCCCTCACAACAATTGAAATGGTAGAAAAAAACAGAAAGTTCCAAAACAGCTCAGAGTTGTTCACAACCATGTTCCTTTAGTTGGTCTTGAAGTTTGTTCATTTGTGAATCCGAGTATAATTCATAACTTATTCCTATCTCCAGGAAAATGACAGGAGCCAGACAAGCTGACCAAATGCCCATGTACGTATGAACATTCACCATGTACATATGAACATTCACCATGTACATTTTCTTAATATTTACCTAAATTTATTTGTAACCGAAAAATATGCTCATGTTAAGAGTCATCCATGCAAATTACAAATGGCACTAATACACGTACAAGGAAATCATACCAAACAAGTGCAAGCTCTGCCACAATTTTTACAAACAGCAAGTACCAGTAAAAAAAAAATTGGATGATACTCAAAAAGGTTATGCCCCAACCCTGTCATCCCATCCATCTCCTACTGTCAAGGGTGAGATTGACCAATGATAAAAATAGCTAAAAACAGCTGAAAAGAGGCATTAAGAAGCTGAACTGTGAAAATTTCTATAGATACTTTTGTACACAGCCCGTGAAGAAAAAAGATGAAATCCAAAACAAAAAAGTTGAAATCAGTTAAAAAGCTGACAAATCTCACCCCTGTACTCCACCCATACCCCCACCATCCTATCCATCTCCTACTCTATCCCCTAACATCATCTGTAATCCATCTCCAACTCTACCTCATCCCATCATTCCATCCATTTCTTGACTCCACCTCCAGCCCATCATTCTATCCATCTCTTGACTCCACTGCCAGCCCATCATCCAATCCATCTCCTAATCTGCCCCCATTCCTGTTAATTACTGTGGGGCTTTCAGTTTAATCCCAACCTTTTACAGTATGACAACATGTGAGCTATTAATATGTAAAACAATTTCAGGTGTTCTGTCTTTTCTGAACTACAAAACTTACTTTTCAGAATGAAGTTTCTGTCCATCCCTCATATTTCATAATGCTTAGTGTCATTTTGAAGGCAAAATATGTATTAATTAGTAGGGACTTTTTACAAATTCCTTTTAGATTAGCAAAATATAATCCATCTACTCAGCCCCCATTCCATCATCCCATCCCTCTTCTACCAGGGGTATGAGTAGCAACTTAAAATTAAAGCTGAAAACAGCTAACAAAAGCTGAAATGTAAAAAGTTCCCTTACTTTTTATAGACAAGGTGTTACAAAAAATGAAATTCAGGATCAACATCTAAACAAAAAAAACTGAAATCAGCTAAAAAGCTGAATTCCCACACTGGTCCTACTCCAACCCCCATTCCATCATCCTATCCATCGCCAACTCTGCTCATCCTATTCTTCCATCCAATTCCGACTCTGCTTCCCATCCATCTCCTACTACGCCCCTTCATGCTGTGGTCATTCCAACCATCTCCAATTCCTCCACCAAACCATCTCATCCATTTCCACCTCCGTCCCATCCCATCAATCCCCTAATCCGCCCCATCCCATCTATCCATCTATGTCTGACTCTGCCTCCACCCCGTAATCCCATCCATCTTCTATTTTGTCCCACAAACCATCATTCCATTAATCTCTACTCCGCCCCATTCCATCATTCTATCCATCTTCAACTCTTCACCCTTACCTAATCATCTCAATCAGATGGTATGTATGTATGTACATGTGTGTACATGTGACACACACAAAAACATTTGGGGGTTCAATTTCTTCATCAAATGTGTACATGTATATAAACAAATTTCAAAGAAATGATCACACATAAAGTTCTGATGCTCATAAAACACAAAATTCAAACAAACAAGTACAACTGACACATACTATTTCCAACATACCACAGGCAAAAATTTCAAAATTGGGCAGACGGCCAGATGTACATTTACACTACGGCAAACGGACAGACGGACAGACAGACAGAAATCAGGATTACACAGGCTCACATTTGCTTCACAGCTCACCAATACTGCATTTACTTACTTCACACAAAAACCTCTGCCGATGTTTGGGGCCAGAGTTCTTGATCTCATAGTCTGGGGTCACCTTCTTCTTGCCACAGAAACTGTACAGAAAATTTTTGACATCACCCATCACAGCAAACTTCCACGTGAAGATGGACTGAAATAAAAATTTATGAAAAAGATGATCAGATACTGTCAATATACAGATAGTGTCCGACAACAGAAGACAGATTTTCTGCCTTTTCAACTTTTGAGAAAAACCTTGTTTGGTCAAAAGAATGTTGCTATTAGAGACGTTGACGAAATACATGTACAACTGTGCACAAGTCTATGAGATATGGAGAAAAATAAATTTTTGAAGAAAATGTTTAATTTACCATCAGCTGATACATCCCTATCTACCTACACACAACAATAAATGGAATTGGATCTACAATTCTTTTTCATAGACCCATAAAAATGTTCACCTCTAAGATGACATCATACATGTACCTGTAATGAAATCATCGGATAGTCAACTTTAATTTAAACTGAATCACGTCCAGTCTTCCTATCTACATGTACCAAGAGTGAACCCAATCTGTCTCAAGGTTCTCTAGTTATACATGTAGGTCTTAAATTATGCGCCTCTGAGATGTCAGAGACCTCTATTCAAGTGACCTCATTATATTGTGAATTATCATCTATAACACATCCCCAACTACATACAAACACAAACTAAACCAAATCAGACTCAAAGTTCTCCAGTTAAAAGGCATGCAACTGACACTGAAAGTCTGTATGTTTGATGAATATTCAAAATGTAATAATAAACGACCTAATAATGTCATCATGATATATCACTTTGCAAATATCTGGAGCTGAGGTTCAAAGAGCTGTATGAATTTTATGGTGATTGGTTCTTGTTTGAAAAATTTTTATTGCTTAGAATCACACTGAAAAATATTAAAATGTTAAAGATGAGGTCATCATGACACCAACCAATGTTTTGGGAAGATGCAAAAGTTTAATCTCAGTCAGACTGCTAAGGATTTAACTTCACAGGCGTGTTACATGACCTCGGATGATGTCATCATAAAATCACTGTTCTCGTAGAATTTTTAAAAAAGAAAATTTGTTTAAGGAGATATCTATCAGTATGTAAAAGATCTTGGTAAAATAAGAACAGTTGTCTTCAAAAAAAAATAACTACATTTACCCTCTCCCCCTGACCTGGTTTTGCCTTTACATACATGGCTTTTGGCACAGGCATCCACTGGGGGAGGGGGCACAACCCCCCCCAATAGTTACACCACTAAGGGCAAGGGCAGTACACCAGCAGACATTTTCGCCCATTTACCACTTCAATCACATTATCACAACCCTGTCATCCATTCACATACATGTACATGTACCACTTTCCCCATGGTACGCGCCACTTTGCCCATGCACCCCTTTGCGCACACAATATTTTGCATGGCAATAAACCTATAGAGAAAAATGCAGCTTTAATCTCATGTCACGTGACTCATAATGACATCAACATGACGATTTTAGTTTGACAGCCCCACGGGTTGTTGGACTACCTATGCTCCCAATACAAAGTCACTCAGATGTATGAGTGCACCAGTCTTTGACGTTTATAGAAAAACATGCACAAAACCTGTGGAAGAAAATGTGGCTTTAAAGTCATGTCACGCGATTTGCGTTTATACTGAACAAAAAATCTGAAATATTATTTGATATTCGGACTCTTGGGCATATTTGTAATCAAACGAAGGTGAAAAAAAAAATTTACTATTTTTCTTTCGTTCTCAAAGTAATTCTCAGCCGAAGTTCAGGACTACTCTCATTAAGATCGATAATATTGCGTAGTAGAAAAACGTGAACAAAACGTATGGAGAAAACTGCAGCTTCAATCTCATGTCACGTGACCCCTGATGATGTCATGTTGACGATTTTACTTTGGGGGCCTCTCTTCATACATGTAAGGGACTTCAAGTGTATGTTGAAGGAAATAATTCAGATTGACCAAAGTGTCGAGGACAGGCTGATGGAAAACGTGTACAAAACCTATGGGGAAGATTAAATATCCAGAAGTCAATTTGAAAATAGGTGATGACGTCATTATGACGTCATAAATTAAGCAAAATTCTTTCATCAGGGTCTTCGTTGACAGTAACTTTGATGTTGATCAAACCTCTCAAAATAACCCAAAAAATGGTGGCTTGAAAACGTGTACAAAGTCAAAAGGCAGAAACAAATATTGAAAAATCAATTTTGACAATTCTTTTGTGGGAGCCTCTGTTCACGAGGGGCTTCAAGCGTACACTGAAGGAAATAAGTCGTAGTGACCTGAGTGCCGAAGACAGGTTGTTGAAAAACGTGTACAAAACCTATGGGGGAAGATTAAATATCAAAAATATCAATTTCAAAATAGGTGATGACGTCATCGCGACATCTTAAATTTAGCATAATTCTTCCATCAGGGTCTTTGTTGTCTGTAACTTTGATGTTGATCAAACCTCTGATAATTGCCCAAATGATGGCTTGAAAATGTGTACAAAGTCAATGGGCTGAAATAACTATTGACAAATCAATAGTAAATCACATGATGATATCATCATGACGTCATTTCTGTTGAAGAACTCTTGCATAAGGGTCTTTGTTCGATATCACTTTCATAGCAATCAAACATCGCGAAGGTTTCCAAATAGTGGCTTGAAAATGTGTACAAAGTCAATGGACTGAAAACACCCATGCAAAAAGCTGCTCCTTTATGATGTCATGTGATTTGCTTTTAAACTGAAAGAAAATTATGAAATATTATTTGTTATTCAGAATCTTGGGCATACATGTAATCAAACGAAGACGAAAAAAAAAAAAGATTTTTTTTCGTTCTCATAGCAATTCTCAGCCGAAGTTAAGGACTACTCTCAAGAAGAAAGATAATATTGCGTAGTAGAAAAACGTGTATAAAACCTATGTGGAAAACTGCAGCTTTAATCTCATGTCAAGTTATCTGCAAAGTTTCAACCTGATAGAACACATACTTCAGGAGATATAAGGCTTTAACCACTTCATGCCGGGGCACTTTTCAATGTTGATGATGCTGGGCCGGCATGACTATCATTTTTTCCATTTTCAAAATCTTTCAAAAATTCATTGTTTCATTTAACGGTCGTTTACAGCCGCACGGAGTAATCTTCAGGCACTACTCTAAGTTGACAGGTGACCTTCATTGACGCCCGAGTATTTCAGCCAGGCCAGCAGCCTTGATTATCACCACTTTTGAGAGTGAAAAATGTTGGTAATGCCCAGCAGCCTGGTCTTTTGTTTGGAGTACTGTCTTTTGTTACAGGGCCCTGTTTCCTTTGTCTGAGTTCGGAGATCCCAGCCACGCATATAAACCATATGTCTCCGATTCCGGAGTCCCCAGCAGGTAGTGGTTAAAGAGTGCAACTTTAAGGTCACGTGACTTGTCTCCTGAGGACGTCATCATCACAAAAGGTCAGTATACCTCTAAAGCAGTCCCTAATTTTCAAGATATCTGCAAGATTTGAACCCAACAGGATATCTACTTCAGGAGACATAGGGCCTTAAAGGTTAACCCTTCATGTCACGTGACTTGTCTCCTGATGTTGCATCATCACATAAAGTCAATATACCTCAAAAGTACTTCCTTTTGAAGATGTCTGGAAGATTTGAACCTGATCAGGCATGTACTTCAGGAGATATAGGGCCTTAAAGAGTGCAACTTTAAGGTCACATGACTTCTCTCCTGATGATGTCATCATCACATAAGGTCAATATACCCCTAAAACACCCCTTTTCAAGATATCCGCCAGATTTTAACCTGATCGAACATGTACTTCAGGAAGTATAGGGCTTTAAAGAGTGCACCCTTAATATCACGTGACTTGTCTGCTGATGACATCATTATCCCATTAGGTCAATATACCTCTAAAGCATTCCCTTTTCAAGATGTCTGGAAGATTTGAACCCAATCGGACATGTACTTCAGGAGATATAGGGCCTTAAAGAGTGCACCTTTAATGTCACGTGACTTGTCTCCTGATGAAGTCATGATCACACGAGGTCAAAATTCCTCTAAAGCACTCCCTTTCCAAGATATCTGCAAGATTTGAACCAAATTGGATATACACTTCAGGAGATATAGAACTTTAAAAGAGGCACCATTTAATGTTACACAACTCGTCTGCTGATGGTATTGTCATCGCCTGAGGTCAACTTCCGTTTGTAAACCTTCCCTTCCTAACTGCCTGCAAGGTTTCAACCCAAAAAGACATGTACAATACAATATACAGTACAAAACATTATACTTAACGCGGAAAAGGCACAGATTAGACATCTTAATTATTTGTCCCTTTTGGCATTCCATACAATGCGATCTGCTCTCAGCAGCACGTGGTCGGCATTTTGCCAAGTCCCGAGTATAATGCCCTACGCACGCTGTGCCGTCTATGTTACAGGCAGATATTGGGCATCCACACACACACAGTAGCATATGCACAGCATGCTAATGGCATTTTCGAGTTGGCAATATATATTTTAAGGGGGTTTTTGTCGGTGGCAATTCATGTATGTGAAAAAGTACACCAGCTATGCACATCATGCAGCTGACTCCAATGTTTTAGCTTTCATTTCGTGCGCAATTCACGCTTATATCGCTTACAGTTGATTTTTTACCGAATTTTGAAGAACAAAAGAAGTTTTTATTGTAATTTCCGGTCTGATGACGTCATCAGCCACAAACTTCACACAAGTGTTGACTGGGTAAAGATGGTCATCTACATCACTTTTCAGGCGATTTGGACAAACTTCGCCACGGACATCCATTCAAAATTCATTTTTCAGAATTTTTAACCTGTCGCTAGAGGGCGCTCCTCAATAAGGTGACATCATCAGTAGATAATTTGAAAAATACTATACCCCAGCAGACTAACACCATTGAAAACAACTCGATACCTATTACCACTTTTAAATAAGACCACTTCCAGTTTTGACCGGAAGGAAGGGTCATGTGATTTGACTCACGCGAAATGAATTCAAGGCCACATTTTATTCTGTCACTTGCTGCAAACAGAATGTTGCAGGAGGCCAGGGTCGATTTTATATGGTTTTTTATAAATTTAACAGAATATTTGAATATACAAA